TCGTAGGGGAGAGGGCTAGACACTTTGCAGTGAAGAAGCGAGAAAGTTCGGAGAGATAGCCGTTTACTTTCAAACACAGGTCATCAATTCCATTCCCAGTCGCCATGATCGAGCAGTCGTCGGCATANGAGACAATCGAGACTCCCTCTGGTGGTTGAGGGAGCTTTGAAATGTAAAAGTTAAACAGTAGCGGGGAAAGGACACCACCCTGAGGAACCCCCTGTTTTATTTTCGCTGCTTACTCGTTTTGTCTCTAAATGTTACCGACGAATGTCGACCACTCAGGGCCTCTGTGGGAGAGAGGAGGCCTCTATATCTTCTAGCAGCGTGGAATGGCAGACGGTGTCAAACGCCTTTGACAAGTCCAACGCTACTAGAATCGTTCTCTCACAGGGACGGTTGCGGTTAAGGCCACGAGTTATCTGAGTGTTTATGGCGTTAAGTGCTGTTGTTGTACTGTGCACTTTACGGAAACCATGCTGATGCTTCGCTGGGGTCAGGTGGTTTGTGAAGTAATTAGGAGGTTTGTGGGATGATAATTCTGTGTGTGCTCCCCGATTGCTTGTTTAGGAGGTAAAAGGGATTACTCCCCCTCCTAGGACATCCAATGTTAAAGGGAGTATACAAAATTACATGCTTATACACAGAAGCATAGGGAGCAATGGGGAGTATTCGTATACTCCCAAGGGAGTACTCACCGAGCAATCGTACGATGCTCCCAAGTTCTACTGGGTATGAATATAAAATTTACTTATTGTCACATCCCAATACGCATTTATGTAAGTGTTTTTAAAAGTAATACCTTCTATGTTAAATATTAAATAGGCGTTTTTAGTATTCAGATTTTGCAAATGAACCTTTTATAAGCGTTGAGAGCGATTTTTTTATAAACAAATCAAAGAAAAAACAAACCCAAACCAAAAAATATGCGTTTTGTAAGCGTTAGTATACCTTTAAAAACCTACTTTAAGTTTATTTTGCTTGTTGGGATGTATGTACACGCACACATACATATGTAAGTAAAATACATTTTACATAATGCCAGTTATCTGTTATTCTGATGTACTCTACAGCGGGATAGATTCCCAATCACCTCACGAAATAGATGTAGTATTTAATCAGATCACGCGATTTGTGTCTGGGCTAGCAAAATATGAGCATATTTCTGCTTGGAGAACGCGCATACTTGGCTGCGAAATTTCTGAATACCTTAAAGCTAGAAATTGTATATTTCTTTTTCGTCTCATTACGAATAAGGCGCCCAAATATCTGTTTGAGAACTAATGTCCCCCAAATCACCTCGAGTAAACGACTTGACTTTTCCTATATATAATTATCTCAGCTCTGCACGGCTATTCTTTGTCAATACTATCCGCATCTGGAACTCTATTCCATCTTATAATCGTGGCAGTTTAAACAAAAGCAACTCAAAAAATGTTCTGTATGCGTATTTCCACCAACTTGACTTCAGTCCCGGAGACAAATTAAAAAATCTATTTTACTTCTTTTGAAATCATTCCAAGGCTAATTTCTTCCAGACAAGTACTACGTATCCATATGTCTATATATATTCATGCAAAAACATATTATAATTGTACTTACATCTTTAGAAGAGTCATCCCGATCCGTAGCCGAAGACTCGTTGGTTGTTGGGAGAAGCACACTGTCCCTGCTAATTAATGTGTTGCCATTTGTAGTGGGTATACTAGTTCCAGTTTGTTTAGAGCAAGGTCTATTAATGTCATTAGCCTTAGTTTCTACTGAGACATTACACGTCTCACCATCTTTCGTTTGGCGTTCTGTCGCTGCAGATTCAATACTCAGGCGGCCGAACTAAAATAAATATTATATATATGTATATGAATTAATACAAAAAGGAAACAAAACGTTGCAAGTTCATCATCGCTTACAATCATTAAATATATCTAGATCAGTTTAATGAGGTAAAAGTCCACTTATTTTATCAGATACAGCTATCATTGAAAATGTTAAGTTGTACCTTGATCTATTCTTATCATAAATACTGCAAATATCTAACCAATTCATAACTTACCTCAAATATCTTTAGCAAAAGTTTTACGTAGGCTCTTCGGACACCGACAGATTTATTTACAGCGGACAATATAACCAAAAATGAAATAAATACACTGAAGGGAATGCAAAAGAACTCTAAAATATCTGTGAAAAACATTTCTTTCTTCAGATTTACATGAAAGATTTGTTTTCTGTTAAATACTATCCAATCGAGATTGTGCTTCAACTAAATTCTCAAGCAATTAATCTGACGAACAGTAAACATCTTGCTAATGTCAAACGTCAAAATCAAAATGGTGTTACCGGCTCAACCGATTTCGCGAAAATGGCATGCAATTTGTGTCAAGCCGACTTATTGCTTTCGAGACTGTGAAAACAATAAAAAGAAAGTTGTCTGAATCCCACGCGAAGTTTCTTCCTATCACCCGCATAGCTTACATTATGGGTATTTTCCCGCATAATTATGAGCAAGCATGGTTCGGAAACTAGACCTTTACGCAATTACATAAATACAACGGTGTTCACATGAGGCGATTACTTGAATCAAAAATTCTCGGTGACCCAACTTCATTGGAAGCGATTAGTAGAATGGCCGTTCACACCAGGCGAATGTTGCTTTCAACTAAAAGTTGCCTGTAAAACACACCCCTATTGCCAGTATTGACTAGTAGTAGATAAACGACTCATACTCCATTATCGCTTTTTCATGGTATTGTGAATGTCGATCTCTCGTTCATAAAGCGACTGTTAATAGTTTTTAATCGCTCATCCTTCTACAACTGTTTGTTTGTAGAAGGATAAGCGACTATAAATTATTCACACGCGCTTATTGAACAAGAAAACGACTGAAAATACCACGGGTAATCGATAATCGACTAACTGTCGTTTATCTACTACTTGTCGACATTCACAATAGGGGTGATAGCCTCGTGAAACACCGTATAAGCAACTCACTGCCATGCACAAACTCATGAATCACTGTTCCTAATTGACAAGATTTGTTATACACTGGTGAACCGATAACTAGAACCAGTTTTTTTATAGGTTTAGATACTTTATTTTTATTTATTACTTTTAATTTATTTTATATGGAAAATATACTAATAATTACAGACGGACAGACAGACATGGCTTAATCGACTTCTCTATTCATTCTGAGCATTTATGTATACATTTGTCTATATCTAGCTCGATTCGTTTTGGCTGTTACAAATAACCGTTATGTGAACAAAATTAATATACCCTTGTGCACAAGTGCGCTCGGGTATAAAAATATGTTAAAATGGGGAAATTAGTAAAAAAGATTTTTAACAAATAATACTTCAAGGACTCACCGTTAAATGCATACAAAAATCTTAATAAAAGTAGCCAATGCAGTAACCAATTAAAAGTGACAGTTAATGCCGTACAACTCGATGTCTTGAGACAAAAACACTTTTCAAAATGATGAAATTAGTAAATTATTAAATTGTAATTATATAAATTGTATATATATATTGAATAAAATCATATAACTCAAAGTTTTAAAATTAAATTCAAGTTAATAAAATTTAGTCTGGAATAAAATGCTTGACATAGTGAAAAAATTCTCCAAATCCAACGAGATTTTGAAGCCAATCACAATCTTAAAATTGAATGGGCTATAAATCCGTAACATCGAACCTTTTCTAGAACTTCCAGTTGAAAGTTTGAAATTTTGATGACCATTTTTTAACTTCGCCGATTTATTATAAATCTTGTACAAGGTTTAAAACTTTGAGTTATATGCTTTTATATTTTCTTAAAAAAAAAAAAATTAATACAAATAAATAAAAAGATTTCCAAAACTTGTAAAATAAATTCGTTTCCAATTATCGGGCCACCAGTGTAGATCTTAAAAAATTTAAAGTTAACTTTGGTTGGAACCAACATTCCGCCTTCACCTGTCTCTGTTATTTTTTAGTTTGATTAGAGCACAACGATCATGTCGCTTTTTCATTACATCGGTGTTTGCATTTACCACCGAGCGCAGTTTCATTCAAATAAAAAAAAGATTACAAAAAGTGCTGCGACCAAAAACACTTATTTCATTGCTGTTTTTTCAGCAAGGAAAAACATTTCTTATGTCCGGCATGTGGAGACTCCCCCATGACACCAACCACCTCCTCAATTAGACTGAGCTAACACCTCTCTCCCATCGGTTCGACCCGTCAAAACAGCTCGGTAGTTGGACCTTGATCATTGATGTAAAAACCGACGCAGGTGGGGCTACAACATCCTGCAAAACCCATGGCAAGGATAATTCTTCGTAAGTAAAATGCTGTCAAAGTGTGTCTCTTGTCAGAAATAAATTTTGGGCTAATTGTACCCTAATTCGAATGAATCTCTTTAAACAAAACGCGTGGTAATAAAATTAATACGCGCTCATTTTAGAAACCTTAGGCGTAGCTTTTTCTCCAGGCCTTTGCGCAGCTTAACCTAATACTGTGGATGTTAAGACCCGCATAGCTATGCAGTTGTGTATTATTTTTATTCAGCTTACAAATACGCACACTACTGGCTAATAATTTTTATCAGATAATCTTTATAATCAAGGTTAATAATTTTTTTTTTTAATAATTCGCGAAAATTAATTGTCCTGTTTCAATCATGCAATTTGAGTACTGACATATGAATATGTATGTATGGCTTTTACCTTGATAATTAAAAAATAGTTGCATCCTGAAGGTGACATCACAAACATGTACTAAATATCCATCTTCACGACTTGAATTCCAATTGAAAACAAGTAAATAAAACATCTTTTTTATCGTGAAATTACTTATTGATCGACGAGCAAGTCTTAATTTCTTATACTTTATATAATACACCACTGAAATAGTTCTCAATTATTAATATTAAATGAAAAAAGATAATTAATGTAAAAAAAAATTTATTGGCGAAAATCTGTTTTTGTTACTCAACTCTTTATCCTATACGCTTCAAATTTCTGTTTCTATTACTTCACAAACTATATATTTTTGAAGTAAATGTAGTCAAATGAGTTGATTGAACTTAGCCATAATAGTGTTAATACACTACTATAGTATTAGTTTTAATTTACTTTTAACGTAAATTCAACAGAAATCTGCAGGTAGATAAAGTCAGACGTATTAGGGATGTTTACTTGTCCAAAGCAGTGTTGGTTTTGAGAGCGATAACACATTCTTCACCACAAGATTTTAGGACTGTGCACTGAAAAAATATGCAATATTAAAACTATAACATCCGTAAACTATCTTTTTACTTACCAAAAGATCTTTGCCGTTGTCAAAGTCAGATCTTAGAGAGTTTCCAAGGTCGCCCTCTGGTACTTTTAAATCCTCACGAATTTCTCCGTTATCTGACATTAAAGTGAGAAAACCATCATCGCTTATATCAGTCAACTGATAATCCTCTCGTTTTACATGTGGTACATCCATGTTATGGGTCGAGGGGCAGATATCTTCATATCTGGTTTTGAAAAATTATTACCATAAATTTTGACAATTTTTTCTACACTTCCCACTTACTTTTTATTTGAAAATATATCAATGCCAACCATATGAACTTTAGCATGACCATGTTTTCCAGTTTTTGAGGTAGACATCTCAACTATCTTGCACGGCCGTCCTTTTAACATAACAAATCCGTTTTTGCGTAGAGCTGAGCATTGCATCGGATATGTCTGAGAGGCACCAGAATCGCCGGTCTCAAAATGATGATCATCCATTTCGGCCATTTTTCTCAGTTATTAGACTACCGCGTACCAAAAAAATATCTGTAAATTATATATTGAGAATAATAATCAATCAATCGATATTAACGTGTAGAATTGGCCATTCAACTAAATTTGTAGAAAAGTTTAAACCATATACAATATGAAAATTAAAGCCGACTCTATATTTGTATTTTATGTTTACATCTGGATATTAAAACTTAGAATTGCATATTTTTAACAAGACTTGCTGATTAATAAACTGCACGCCGAATCGCTGTGTTTGTAATACGTACATATGTACATTCATACATATATGGAGCTACTTAACCAAAATTTCAGATTATTGANACGACTCTATATTTGTATCTTATGTTTACATCTGGATATTAAAACTTAGAATTGCATATTTTTAACAAGACTTGCTGATTAATAAACTGCACGCCGGATCGCTGTGTTTGTAATACGTACATTCATACATATATGGAGCTACTTAACCAAAATTTCAGATTATTGAACTGGTAAATATGTATGTAGCGTCGCCTTATCTAGAAAATCATTTCCTTTATTAAGAGCTAAATTTTTCGGACGCTGCATTTTAAATTATGCTGATAAATCTTTCGTTCATTGACATCAAGCACTTGTAACATGGTATATGAAAAACCTAGCGTTCAACAAGAGCATCACATATTCCTTCTTCCCATTTAGTAAGGAAAATCACTATGAAAATTCACTAACTAAATTTCTTCTTGTGGCATAATTGCTCGGATATTTTTGATCCGTATTATCAACAAATTATGCATAAAATATCACAAATTTCGGAGAAGAATCCGATACTCACATGTGATTTAAATGATAGCCTTAAGCAAAGAGAAGAAATGGCACAACCCTGCTCTTGTCCACGAAACACTTGAATGAGTAATCAAGATAGCGTATCCGGTCAATACACTATGAAAAAATGGCGCAAACAATGCTTTCGAAGTCGTCAATCATATCTGTCAAGCGCCAAAAGAAACACTCATCAAAATTGCATAAGCTTACAGTCTGTTTAGAGCATACAAAATACCAATTTAAGATATACAAAATATTGAATGACTGCCTTGAAAAATAAAATAAGTTTGGGCCAAACAATTCTCCACCCTTTAAAGCAGAACAACTGGCTAAAGAAATAGCAAGCTTCTTTAAAAAATACTTAAAACAACTAGATAAAAAACACAGACATATTTGAACTAATTTGAAATTAATTCCCCAGAATTTCTCCTTTTACACTTAATTAAGAATTCGGCCTTAATTGTACAAACATAGGAAAGTTTTACCAGTATAAAGTCGAGGCGGCCAAGGCTTGAGTCGAGATATATTTTTTAGTCGCTGTCAAAAACCGAGGGGAAATGTTGAAAAATGCGGATTCTGAATATTCTTGAAACGAGTTAATTTGTTATGGCTTGTGAGCACAGGAATTATGAATATATGTGAACTAACAAACACATTTCAAAGAGTGTAATCATTAATTTAGGTTTTACTTGTGCTTGATGGGTCGTAAGATTGAAGCGGATTTCAAAGTAGCAACCTTGTCTGCAAGAACCCAGCTCCCGTCCTTTTACCTCAAGCCTTGTCGTTGGGTGTATGTGCATTTTTCATGTCCAATATTTATCTATTTTTATTCAAAAGATCCTTTGATTTTCAGATTGCTTCGTATTTACAGAACCAACAATGCCTCCAAAATTCGATCCTACTGAGATTAAATTAGGTAAATTTTGTATCTTAGTTGAGATGAATTATATCAACACCGCTTGTTTCAGTTTATTTGCGATGTGTCGGTGGCGAGGTTGGAGCCACATCTTCCCTGGCTCCTAAAATTGGTCCACTCGGTTTGGTAAGAACATTCATTGTTTACTAATTTTATTCATTTCAATAAGCTTTCTTGTTGTAGTCACCGAAAAAAGTTGGAGATGATATTGCTAAGGCCACTGGAGACTGGAAGGGACTTAAAATTACAGTATGTCTGACCATTCAAAACCGTCAAGCTGCTATATCAGTTGTTCCATCTGCAGCTTCGTTGATTATTAAGGCGCTTAAAGAACCTCCCCGTGATAGGAAGAAGCAGAAAAATAGTGAGACTTTTTGCAAAGTTTTAATTGCAATTTGTTAACTTATTTTTATTTTTTGATAGTTAAACATAGTGGAAATGTAACGTTTGATGACATCCTTTCAATTGCGAAAACAATGAGACCAAGGTCAATGGCTCGTAATCTAGAGGGCACTTGTAAAGAAATTTTGGGGACAGCGCAAAGCGTTGGTTGCACAGTTGATGGAAGGCCGCCACATGACATTATTGACGACATTAACAGTGGTTCAGTAGAAGTTCCTGCCGAATAAATAGTGTCTAGCTACCTTTCCGAATTAAGAAATAAAATTTGTTATCACCACAAAACTTGAGTTACGCAGCAAAAGGAACAGTAATTTCTCATTCAAAAATGAGAATGATCAGACAGTTTAATGAGATGGATTTTGAACGTTTTATTTAAGAAGATTGAAATTTGGAAAAATAAGAAAAGAAGTGAACAACGAGCAGAAGTGCAAAAATATGATTAAAATGGATTTTAGTGTTAGCCGCGTTATTTTGAGACTCGCCGAATGTTTCATTAGTTGAGATTACCAGAACGAAATTTTTATTTGGAAACGAAAATAGTGAAAACTAGTATCGCGGATGTATGTATGATTATGTTTGTCCAAACTAAATGCTTTCGTCAGATGGTATCATTCAAGTCTTGTAAAGGAACGATTATGATTATTTGTCGCGGTTTTAGGCAGACTCGCAAACTGACTTGTAATGGTGAGTACGACATTTAAATATATAATATTTTAAAAAGAGTTCATCGGCGGCGAACGTAGGCATTTGGTTCACTTTGCATTCGGATACACTAGCTAGAAACTTGCGAAAATTTACTACATTACTACTGAGTAACAAATTATAGCTGAAAATTTTCCGTTCCAGATTGTTTGCATTTTTTAAGATAAAAATCACACTAGTTTGTATGGCCCTATTATGTGTGGCGACTGGTATGTGGATGTGTAACCATATGTAATGCCAATATATATGCCAACTGGCTACTGTGTTTTCTCTTCGACTTTGTTATTTCTCTGTAGTTCTCTACCACTTCTCCGGCAACACAGGAAGGAGAATTCTCCGTAGAAATGGTTATAATCCCTAAGTGCGGCCGAAGGCGCCTAGGCATAAAAAAGTTGTGCCCCACTTCTCCGGCAACACATAATCCACGTAATACACATATCCTCTTACCGTGGATAACGGATGAATCGCGCAACACTGTGGTTGTGATTGCAACTCGTACAAGCCCTGTTTGTTTATATATATGGTTAAACATAATGGAGCAATATATAGTACAATACTGAAAGCCATGGCTACTAGACTAGCAACTAGACACCAGTCGCCATACATAATAGGGCCATTAAACATCGAAGTGCGAATATACATAGAGCTTCTCGTAGCAACAGCGTACAAATTCCCAAAACAGTATTGGGTAATTTTGCATAGACCCAACTGTCGTTAAACAACAGTGCCTTTTCTTATTCTAAACAACTTGGAGCTGGCTGTAACGCTAATTGGGCTCACTGCATATCGACACCTCCAAACCATACCAAAGTCACCTTAGACTTAGTCGGGCTTAGTATGGTTTGACAAGGCTAAATATGTTGATAGATCATCATAACAGATGTGTAGGAATTAGCATGACTGGGAATATTTCTCATAAAGCGCGCTTTTGTGCTTCATTCCTTACGTATTGATTTAAAGGAATTTGANGACTGGGAATATTTCTCATAAAGCGCGCTTTTGTGCTTCATTCCTTACGTATTGATTTAAAGGAATTTGATTAATATATATTTATTATAATTGAATTATATTTAGGCAGATGAAATTAAATAATTTAAACACACTCATACGAAAATATATTCCTGTTGTGATTAATTAGTTACATGCAAATATCTCATATAAATTTGGCATGAAACAGTCGAATGAATAAGAATTGTTTATTACTTCTTTTTGTTTTTGCCTAAAGTCAAGGTATGGTGTGATGCTGATATCTGGGTTTTGCGACGACTGAATTCTACAAAATCTTCTTCTAGTTTTTTTCGGGAATCTTCCAACTTTCGTTTTTCTTCAGCATGGTCACGCTTTAGTTTATCGAACTTTGCATGTAACTGAAATCATATGTAAATTTTAACATAACTTTTTTTCAAGATTATTGGTATAGATTACCTCCTTTTCACTTTCTTTAAGTTCAGCTTCTTTTTCCTTAACCCTCTGCACAAACATCTGTCTTACTTCTTCTTCTTTAGCTTGTAGCTCGGCTAAATGATTTGATCTTTTTGCTTCGAATGTTTGTTGGAATGATATCTAAAAGCGAAAAATGTTTTTTTTTTTTAACATCCAATTTTATGAATCTCAACTTACTGGTTTGTTGTCACTATCAACATCGCTGAATCCCATTTGTTCTAGACGTTTCTGCCTATATAGTTCATAATGGCGAGTATGAGTTTTTTCTCTCATATCTTCCATATTAGTTCGAATCAGCATTTCACGAAGTTTAACAAAGTCACAATGCATTTCATTCTCAACTTGAACTGTCCCCCAAGGATATTGGCGAGCGCGGATTAATTTGTTGCCTACTTTTATAAAATCAGTACTTCCTACTACAGCAAATGGAACATGTGTATTCATTGTTGTATTAGTTTCAGCAACAGTTTCATCATCGGTTGGAAATTGATATATGTGAACTCCATTATTGGAAAGCTCCTGCATGATTTTACTTTTAAATCGGTTTAGTTCTGACTTTGATATGGTATCAGCCTTTGCAATGATGGGAATAATATTAACTTTACTATCTAGTTTCTTCATGCATACAAGATCTAATGACTTAAGTCCGTGACCTGTTGGACATATGAAATATAAGCAAACATGAATGCGGCTGTCGTGGCATGAAACCAAAGAACGCTTGATCTTCAGTTCTTCCTGCAAATATGCTTCAAATTGTGCGTCGATGTAGTCTACTACAGCTTTAAATGAGTCATCCTTATTAATTTGATCACCGTAACCTACGGTATCGCAAATTGTTAGTTTAAGCCGAACATTACTCTCTTGAAGCTCATAAGTATGTGCTTTCAATTTAACGTTCGGCAATGTATGTGGACTTGGTGTAGACTCAAAGCTAGTGTTGAAGAGAGTATCCATAAGTGTGGATTTTCCCAGACCAGTCTCACCTGAAAGATATGGAATTTATTAAAAATGCTTTTCTGTGGCTTTCGAGGACTTTTACCTATACACATGACATTAAAAACGAAACCATTTTGTACGCTTTTGTTCACCAGTTGGTCCGGTAAGCTGTCAAACCCAACATGTCCAGATAATTTTAATGTTCTTAAATGTGGTTCGTTCTAATTGCCAAAAAAAAAGAAAAAAGGAGATACAAAGAAAAATTATAATTCTATCGCAGTATTTATCTATTTTATATCTGTTATTAAAACACCTTTAAATATTACATATCTATTAGTTTGCAATAATTGGTAAAGTCCGGAGGTTCGTCCTAGAATATTAAATATAATCAGGCCGGTTCTGCAATTCATTTCCGAGTGAATTTCAATCAAACTCGCTTTAAATTTAATTGGCAGGGGTTGAATAAAATATAATAGAGACGGCCTTCACTTATTCCGGGAAAAAAAAAGATACTGCGAATGGCACATTATAGTTAAGCTCCCCTCTAGGCTAAATCACAATTCTATATTTGTGCACAGTAGACGCACGCTTTCTTCATTTGTTACTCCTTTTTTTCCACCAAAATACAGTTTAGCGATCTGCCGAGCATACAAATACGGACTTTCTTTACACAAAGTAATCAAACCGACAAATGACATAAGGGCTACAAGGCAACACAATTTGGCGTATCGATTTTCTGAGTCACGGAAATTAACTGTTCTATTTATCCAAATAGAGCTCAAGACACAACTTTCTTTTATATTTATTCTTGCCCGTTAAAAAATTAGCAAATCAACCTGTATACTATATTGACTAATGGAACTAAATTGTACAACAATAATACCTTAACGAGGTCAACAGCGACAGACATCTTTCACGACTTTGTTTGCAAACTATTTTTGGTTGAAATGCAATACTTGGTAACATAAAAAACAACGCCCCTATGTAATGTTCCAATTACTGGTGGAACGATTTGACTTTGCGGAACGAAACTGTGTGTGTAAGGTTTTTGATAATTAAAAGCTAAATACGGTTTCAGACTAATGCCATGTTCTGACCGACATCGAAAACATGTTTTCGTTGATAAAACTGGTTTTCGACCTAAAATTGTGTTTTCGCCCATGTAAAATCTGTCAAACGAAAACCAGTTTTCGCTCAAAACTACTTGAAAACTCACGTTCCACTCATTCTAATCGGTGTCTTCACTAGTTTTTTTTCGATTATTTACCGAAGTGGAAGTCTTATTTTATCATCTTTAATACGCCATTTCGGATTTATTGTTAATTGGCTGGCCAAAGTAAAATAAGAATGAAAGTAAGAGGTTGCAAATGAAAATAAAATGAGGGAAAAACATTTTGGTTTGGTTTTTGCGTAGCAAAACTGTAATCAGAGGATGTTAAGAGCGAAATACACCACACAAGCGGTTTGACAAACCAAGCGAAATTTCCCTTTGCTTCAAGCCATTTGTGCTGTGTATGGGGGTGTTTGAAGGTTTGACAAACCGCCGTCAAACCTTCAAACACCCCCATACACAGCACAAATGGCTTGAAGCAAAGGGAAATTTCGCTTGGTTTGTCAAACCGCTTGTGTTGTGTATTTCGCTCTTAAGAAATGTGAACGAAAACACTAATAGGGAATTTACATGATTCAACTTTCACAGGCGATTAGTTGAACCAAAAGTTGAACGAAAGTAGGGAGCCGACCAACTTCATTGTAAGCGATTAGTTGAAAGGCTGTTTACACCAGGCGAAAAATCGCCTCATGTAAATTCCCTATAACACAATCCCAAAACTCGTTTTCAAAGTGTTTTCGTTGTCGGTCAGAACATGCTATAAGGTCGATGTTATGCAGACCAACTTCGGTTTGGAAAATTAAATAGCGGTTACTTAGTTTGCTCTGAAGTGATTACGTCAACTTCGGCACAAGGTTGCACATTGCGGCGCTTTTTTCGAAAATTAACCTGCTGATGTGCGGTATTGCTACTCTCTAGCATTCCGAATTAATACAATTACCCAACGTCTACACCTACCTACTATTTCCGCGTGCCTTTAAGAATATGGTTTATAATGCAGTGCAACCTTGTTTCAGAATTTGGAATTGGTATGGGGTGGCATTACGATTATGGAAGTTTACAGTTATTTTCTTGGAAAGAAAAATATAAGCGTCTTTCAAAAGTAGTCTTTGATTTTATCGCGTAAAAAATGGTTTGCGAAGAGTGTGAGCACACACCAACATCGTTATATAATGAAAATTTTTAATAAAAAGTCGCGCGATGAGCAAGTGCGCGGGCAAGAAAAAGTAATTGACTTACGTTTGATTGAGCATTACAATGCTTACCAGCTTTGTGAAATATAATAAGCATTAATTTATATCATATAACATAAAATTATGCCATACATGATATAATAATTAACAATTATTACTCTCCGATGACAACATGCTAACAAACGAACGATACATATTCACAATACAACNACAATCCCAAAACTCGTTTTCAAAGTGTTTTCGTTGTCGGTCAGAACATGCTATAAGGTCGATGTTATGCAGACCAACTTCGGTTTGGAAAATTAAATAGCGGTTACTTAGTTTGCTCTGAAGTGATTACGTCAACTTCGGCACAAGGTTGCACATTGCGGCGCTTTTTTCGAAAATTAACCTGCTGATGTGCGGTATTGCTACTCTCTAGCATTCCGAATTAATACAATTACCCAACGTCTACACCTACCTACTATTTCCGCGTGCCTTTAAGAATATGGTTTATAATGCAGTGCAACCTTGTTTCAGAATTTGGAATTGGTATGGGGTGGCATTACGATTATGGAAGTTTACAGTTATTTTCTTGGAAAGAAAAATATAAGCGTCTTTCAAAAGTAGTCTTTGATTTTATCGCGTAAAAAATGGTTTGCGAAGAGTGT